TTCGCTAATATAGTGCGTTCCCCTGCCAACCTGGATTAAAAATCGCAGCAGTAAAGCCGCCCTTAATTATTGAGGGAGGGACCGCCCGACACCGGGAATCGCCGTCCGGTGTATTTTTATAACCTAAAAGGGTTGTTTTACGCGAAAATTAGTCTCGGCGGCGGCGCGGAACGCGGAAAAAAACAACCGGAACTTTTTTACGCTCCTTTCCGCCCCGTGTTTTCCGTTAATTTGGAAAAATTCGGAGCGGTTTTCCGCACGGCGATGATGTAATTTAATTTGAAATCGTAGCAGAGTAGGGGACGAGCGACTACCACCCCTCGGAATCAATACCGAATTAAATTAATTGGTGGCCATTAGGACTTTTTTCCTACCACTTATTACCCGAATAGGTCCGGACTTCCAAAAATGCCGGATACTTCTAATATTACATGTATCAGAATGATCGCAAAAATGGGCTGATATGTTTTCATATCATCCGCATCTGAAGAATAATTTTTTATTTTATTCTATTTGCGAATAAATGGCATCGCGGGATGTTTCCATGTCTCATTAATTAACTAGCGTCATTAAAAACTTGCACAAATCATAAATCACTAATACAGGCAAACATTTTTCGTGTGGGATTGAGATTGACGGTCCGCCGCGTCGTCTACTGTGCAATCTAATCATGACAATCGGGTGGCCTGCTTTTAATATTCGGGTGAATTCACGTGACTCACCCTTTATGGAATATCTAAAAAAAATTAGGATTTACAGAGAACAACAAAGGACAATTATTTACTTGGATGAAACCTGGTTCGACACTTATGATACCCCGGAAAAGGGTTGGGTTGACTCAACTGATAAGTGTAAAACAAACGCGCCATTAAAAAGAGGCAAAAGAATAACTATTTTGCATGCTGACTCTAAAGATGGTTGGATTCCAAATAGACTTTCTCTGTCTGCGAAAAATATTAAATATTCTTCTCTGGATTACCATGAAGACACCATCGCTGATTTATTTGAAAGTGGGTTTAAAAACAAACTAGTTCCAAACATACCTCCTAATACCGTCATTGTAATGGACGATGCAAGTTATCACAGTAGACAGTTGATTAAAACCCCTTCCTCCTGTGACACAAAAGCAACAATCCAAAACTACATGTATAATAACGACATTTATTTTCACGAAGATTATACCAAAAAGCAATTAATTGATGTTCTACAAAGCTTGAACCTACAAAAGCAATACGTCTGTGATAATTATGCAAAAAATCTAGGGCATACAATTTTAAGGCTTCCACCTTACCACTGTATATTTAATCCCATTGAACATGTTTAGCACCAACTGAAATCTGCCATTCGTCGTAACAATGTTTTTCCCCGTGTTAACTCCAATGCCCTCAAACTTATAGAAACCGAAGTTTTTAACATCCTTGCACAAAGTTGGGCAAATTCTGTTAAACATATAGAAAGAGCAGAACAATCGTATATCCATATTGCAAATAATATAGAACAAATAATAATTAGAACAGGCGATGATAGCGATTTTATTTTATTTTATTTTAGATTTAAACATAAATACATACAAAAATAAATAAATATTGTTTAGTATCTTTCTTAGCAAAACCCCAAATAATTAAATTCTAAGCAAAGGGGTCTTTCCTTAATTCGTACCAGTTCGTCACTTTTTTATATCTATGAACAGACTACCCCTTTTACTTCTACCAAGATGTGCTAAGTGTCGCTCGATATGCGCGAAACCCGCTCAACCATGATCGCATCAGGTTTATTGCATGTTAAACATTGTCTCCCCTGCTATATTATGCGAGCATCCGTACATATACGTATATTCGAAACGGTCGTTAAGCGCCCTCTCGTATTCCGCGAGAGAAAGAGAGAGAGTGAGGTTATCTCTGAATTATACGACGGCCGCATTTCGCGTGACGATACGCCCGCTTTGTCCGGGTAATTAAGTATTCCGGCGGCGACGTCATCGATACGTTAAATTCGAAGGGAACGTCGGCATCGCAAACCGCGAAATTCAATGCATCGTATCACCGCAACGTCGCTGACAATAAAATGAAGACGCGGCGTCAGAAAGGGGGGGCCTCTATATTGTGCCTGGAGAATTTCGTCGATCAAACAAAGGTTTAAGTAAGTATATTTTTTAAAGAAGCTTCCACAGGCTATTATTTACGTATCGATTGTTGATGAACCAAACTTAGTGTTGTCTTATTCAGAGCTTAACTGAACTTTTTTTCATTCTACTCTGGACCTGCTTATAATATACTGTTTAAGGGAGACTGAGCTAACGGAAGGATAAGAACATTTTCTCGGATGACTGATTCACATATTGCTGAATGTTAAGAAGTAAGATTCATCAACAACCGACGCAGGAGGAATCCGGAAGATTTGTAAATAGTAAAGGCAAAGTAACCACAATATCGACAGTTTTTGCATGTTAAATTAAGACAATTTAAGGTCCATGGTAGCAAAATCTGTCATGTCAAATCATAGGTGTGGTTAGGTAGGTACAGCATGACGCATCCTAGTTCCGACTTCACAACACAATCTGGTCCGTATACCTTTGATTATAGCAGCAATATTATACAAAATTTTGAAGTGCTCAAGACTGGCTTATTTTACTTCATTTGATAGAAAGATAATGTGTGACCAGAAATAACAATCTTCTAATACTACCAATGTGGTGGTACAAGCGTGTAAAAGTCATGGTTGTATGGCGTGAATAACTACGCAGACCGCTTCGAAAAATTTCAATCTCTAGCAAAACATTTTGTTAGAGTTCAAAGGCCAACTGCAGTCTACGACATAATTTGTTACAAATAAATGCACAATTATAAACCTACTCTATAGGTTAGCGCAGACGTCTAAGTTCCTTTGATGTTTAATCAGAAAAGTTATCAACTTTTGTTGAGAGTTGAGCCGTTTCCGTTTAATAGGCAACTCCCTCGGGAATTCACGTACAAAGCTTCCCCCACCCCTGCCACGGCAAAGCGAAAAGGTTTCTCCCAAGACGTGGGGCGGCGTTAACGAAATATTCAGAGAAATTAACGGTTTTCTGTCTGGCGGCTCCCGTTTTGAGACTTATATTGGCATTCTTCGGTCGAACTCCCGGCGTACTCCCGCTAACAAGACCTTTTGACGTTTAATTGAGATTTATGGACCGGAGTTTTGATTAAGCGGGGGAGAGCCACGTCGAAAATTAATTTGGTTTCAATTTTGCCTCCGCTGCCGCCTCTTTTCGAGAACCGGATATTGTATAATCTTCTTTTATTTTTTCGCGATTTCGTTTCGTGCGATGTTTCAAAAAAACATGACGATACGACATCGAAAGCTGCAAAAGAATCGAGACCGAGATTTACGAGTCTCTACCCCGGCTCCCTTCCCCTGTATCAACGTTATCCCGGGACAAGCAGAGGAAAATCCCGAGATTTGAATTTTTAAAATGTCGACCCGGCCGAGGAAAAGGAGTTGTTTAGCTAACTCGCACCGATTTCTACGGAAATCCCGACAAGAGACCGCCAAAACCGCAATAAACGCAAGTCAACTTTTTGCGTTTTTAGGTCGAATAAGTTAGACGTTCTGATTCTCCGCTACTGCAATTAATATTTTTTAATTATCCAATAATACCATTTCGCTTCAAAGCTTTTTAACCGAATGATTTATAGGTTATTATTCCGATCAAATAGCTCCCTCTAGCCCGTGATTTATTTTCCGAGAGCGGAAATCGGCAAACCAATATACCCTTAACGATTGGCGAGAAAATAGGTTTTATCGTCGCCGCCGCGCAGTATCCAAGTTATTATTTACTTTACGAGACGCGAAATGGCCGTTTTAACGAACGTCTGCGAAATTTTGAAAACGCGCGGACCGCCATCATAACGATAACAAACAAAATCGGTAATAACCGTTAAGTTACCCGCGGCACCCAATAATCATAAAAGCCCTTACGTCGTCGTCCGTTCGGTGGATTTGGGGTGGGACGCCCTCCGAATTATATCGATTATGCCGTTGAAAACATTTACCTACACTTTCGTATGACAACAAAATTGTCGGGTACCGACTGGAAAATATTCGGATTGCCTTATGAAAAATTCATGGACCGTCGCGATGGACGAGCGTTCATAATTAAAATGAAAAATCACGTACAAATTATATATCGCGCTTCCAGTCTTTTTTCGCGTCTGTATATATCTATGTGTGCGTGTGTAATTATTTACCCCCATATTCGGCGGTGACTTATTAACTGTCCAATGACTGATGGTAAGACAACAGTTACTGGTAAAAGAATTAATTAAAATTTGTTAATTTTGTCGTATCGAATTGCATTATTTGAAAAACAAATAAATAAAATTAAGGGAGTAAAAAAAATTAGAAATTTGTTTGAAAGTTTTTATATTCTTCGAATAAAATTGTACTACGTTGTTATTTAAAACTGAAAATCAAGTTGTCTATACCACCTAAAATACGGGTAACTAAAATTTAACTATTTTTTTTTTGAATAAGTATAATATGTTGTGGTGCCACGAGCCCTCTCACAGCAGCGATTAGGCTCAGTGCTTAGTTCGTTAATATCTCTAACGAGGTTTTGGAAACTATATAGGCATGGTTACCTGCATCAGCTTGGACTTAGAATCTCGTTCGTTTAACTACTAAAGGATATAGAAATAGCCAATATTAGATATTAGTATTTAACAAGAATGGAAAGTTCAGAATGTCAAACTTATAAACAAAATATTAAGGGTTCCAAAATAGAACCCTGTGGCACTTCCAATTTGTTCAGAATATTTATTTATTATTGGAGAATTTGCTTAGAAATCTGTTAAAGAATATTGCTAAAATTAAGCTACACGGTCCTGATGAGAAAATGTTAAAGTTTCATTATTTTATATTATTGTATAGAATTATATTTTGAACAATGCGACCTCTGAAAACGTCTCTCGCTATCCGATTTTCACCCGTCAACGGATTAGACAGTATCTTTTCTGTTACAGGTTCCCGCGGGAACAGCAAACCCTGCCCAATCACTTTTATTTCACGGATTACGAGAGGCACAACGCCGAGATTGCCGCCTTCCACCTCGACAGGTAAGTAATGGAAAGTTTTTTCCTCCAATTTAGATTTACACGTTGTTTGTCGCGGTGCCTCGGGACACTCCTTTTTTCTCCTTCATCGTTGTTTGCCGCGTCGAAAAAGACACACGGTATAATAAAACCGGTCAAAATCCCTCTGAAACACACCAACTTTTCAGCGCCAACTTTGTCCGAAACAGCTTAAAACTTGTTAATTGTCTAGTGCCAAAGAAAGCGGCACTTATCTGCCGACTGCCAAGAGGACCATAATATGGGCTATAAACGAATTGTTTTACTCGGAAAAAGTTTAAAGGAAATTAAACAGGAAGCGATATCGTTAACGCCCGGGAAGTTTTAGTCGAGTTAAGAAAAAAGTAGTTTTTCCTAGATGTAGAAAGTCGACGGTTAAGCTGCATTTTAACAAAAGTTTAGTTCCGCGCGAAGGAACACTTAATCCAAATTAAAAGTGTTTAATTAAATCCACAGCCACAGTTTAGCGCGCGTGAAAGCCGTCAACTGTTTTATCTTAAACGCCCAGATACTTTGAAAATAGTATATTATATTTATACGCCCCGCTCGCGCCAAATACACTCGTGATTTAATAGTATGTTATGCAACAAGTGCTTTAAACGGCACTCACGAGTTTATTTGACACAAGTTTTTAATAAACGAGTGACTTAAAACGTTCATCGAACGTGTTGCATACTATACTTTTTATACGACCGTTAGCTTTTGGGTACATTTTCGCAAAACAACACGAATATGACATAACCGTCAGAATTCACAAACGTGCGGTAAAATCCCGGAAATGTCCGAAGTGGCTCAGATCCGTGGGACACTAAACTCACGTGATAAAGTGACACGTTCTGCACGCTAGATTGGTGTATAATTAGGTATTTTACAGAAGGGAGTAGAAAAACGAAATTCCCTTTGAAGAATTACGTTGTTAATTATGACTTGGTTAAACCAAGGAAGCCCGAATTAAAAAACTTACTCAACCAGTTAATTTAAACGTGTCTTAGATCCAGCTTATTTTTATGACAACTGTCATCGATAAAGTGGTTGGTTGTTGAAGAACGCTGTAACAGTACATGTTTAGTATGAGTATGGTATGGGTGGGGATTTACGTATAAATATAAGAATGAATATGAGTGCGCGTGTGGTTATGCGTATGCCTATAAGCATGAGTTTGAGTATGAGTATTAGTATATGGGTGTGGGTATAGGCATGGGTATTAATATAAGTACTAGTATTTTTAAAATTAAAAGTGAACTGCGGAAGGTTGGATTTTACATGCCAAAACGATAATGTTTTATCAAATGAAGTTTTCTCTGTGTCGAAAGGAAAAGTCGGAAAGTGGACGGAAATGTCGAAAAATTGATAAGAGCTCTAGCTCTAATTCACGAGATGATTGAATTTTGAATTAAATCTAGATTTACCAAAGGATCAATTCCACAGAGGTTCACTAATACAAATTTAATAGTATATTATGCAACAAGTGCGGTAAACGTAGCACGAGCGGAGCGCAGCGAAGCGAGTGTTTAAAACGGACAGGACCGTCAGAATAGACAATTGTCAAAATTCAAGCCGTGTGGTAAAATCTCCGAAAACATCCGATTGCCCCCAAACTCGTGCGGTAATATCCCGGAAATGTCCGAATCCGTGGGATATGACGCTTTCTGCATGCTATATCGGTGTAATAATTTTACAGACGGGACTAGAAAAAAATATTTAATTTTGAATTAGGCTTGATTAACGAATCTCTGCACTTCGCCTAGTCCTAGTGCCGTCAAGTCCAGAGCGAATCATATTACTAGAGTCAATCTTAAGAAACTATTTAATCCAAGTTTAAGAAAAAAAAAAGACGATGCTGCCGTTTGACGATAAATACCGTTTACTTTTGGCATCCGAAAAATTCCGTTTCCCAGAATTTCTTCGGAGACGCGCTTCGTAATCATTGTTTAACACCCGTACACCGGGGGGCGATAAATCCGTCTCTCTCTCTTCCTCACCCACACACCCCGACCGACGAGCCATCTAATTCCGAGAAAAATAATACGCGGAAACGCGCGCGCGCGTCAAATCAAAATAAAGAATAACTTTCTGCATGGGACGCGGCAATTCAGGAGGCTCGAACTTTTCCTCTTCATATTTCGCACAATACTTCTCCATTATTGTGGGGAAAACGAACGGCGCCGCCGGCGCTGCCGCCCCACGGGGGTCGGTTCCGTATTACCCCCGCCCGCCATCACGACGGATACCTGTTTTATGTATAAGTTTTTCTCACTGAACGGTCGTCTCGCTATCATTTTCTTTCCTCTCCTTTTTTTTTGACCAGCTATTCGATCGAATTTTCCTCTGTATTCGTTTTCGTTTCGTTAATTAAACGCGGGAAAATAAATTGCGCGGCCATATTGTAAATGAGCTTTACACGTTTTGGCGCTTTTGTCCCGGGCGACGCGAAATCATATTTTATTCAGTAGAATAAAATACGTGTTTAGATAGAGACCGCACGGGAGGGGAATTTAACTAAATTGTTTTAAATTTATTTTGTTAAAAACTGGAGACTGTACATTAAAAAAAATGGCGTGAGTTCTATTACGTGACTTTCGCCCCGCCCAAATGTAGAAAACACTATTCTATTGAGACTAAGAAAGTTATAAACAATGTTTATTTAACTCTCATTTTCGTCAATGTGGCCGTTTTTTCTAAAGATGCTTGCTTGCTGGCACCACGTTCAATGAGAATCAAATCAACATTGTTTATAACTTCCTTAGTCTCAATAGAATAGTGTTTTCTACATTTGGGCAGGAGCATCTCCTGAGATACACTAGACTCGCACATATTTCGCATAAATCGCACACGATTCAACACACGCTGTGTTATACACGAAATAAGAATGATTATTAATAATCTTAAACTAAGTAGTATACCAAACCAAAGACTATTAAACACAGGTAGGTATAAAATTACTATTATTACTATTAAATACTATTACGGAGCACAATTTTACCTAGATTTAAATTCCGAAACTTTAGGTAATAATCTTGTTGCATTGTAAGTTAATGGCAACCCTTGGATAATCCCATTCACTCTCTAGCGAAGCGCCCTGGTATTCCTATAAAAGAAGAAACCACGTTGAAAGGTTAGCGGGAAAACGGAACAAGGTAAAAAAACAGAAAATAAAATCGGCATAAAAGTAGCACGGGATTAGGTGGTAAAACAAACTTACCTCGATTCTAGGGTTTTCTGGAAATGCGGGGCAATGAGAATTCTTTTTCAAAATCTCTCGTTGAGATAAAGTCCCATTTCAAACTCCAAATAAATCCAAAAGTATGGGAAATCACAAATTAGTAACCAATTTAAGCGGGGTAGCACTACCGGCTCAAAAAAGAGGTCGGTCACACAAAAGAAAACCTGCCACCGACTCAAGTTTCACTAGAGAGGGCAAAAGTCGGACGGTCAGACAACCAGTTTTATTAAAAGGCCCAACGGACAGAAAAAATTAGAGGGAAAACACCACTCTTGCCAACCTAGTCGATGGTACTCCAGCAAAATCCAAAGAATCGAGGTTGCGTCAACGAGATCGAATTGGCCGAACGGACAAATGGTGGCGACAGACAGCCAGTCCCAGTGAATTGAGAAAGAATAGTTAAAAAAAAAAACAAAACAATGTTTATTAGGCCCCGTTAAGAGCCGATGAGGAATACCGAAGCCGTGAAAAGCAAATGTGGTCCCCAGCCTCATAGTGTGACGACTGGTAATTGTTACGACTGCCTCTAATGCTCGACTAATACTTATTACTATCTCTCGGTAAACCGGTGTCACCTAAGAGAAAACCGAGCGAACAAGGGGCCACGCACACAACCACTGCCGCGTAAAGTATTTATGATTCGGCAACACAACCTGACGGGGAGTATAAGTCCAAAACTAAGGAAACCGAGTATACAAAACAAGGAATGGTTGTATTGTGTGTTAAAATCGCAAAATCGATATCAAATTAACAAACAAGAAGTTTTTTAAAAAACCCTCGCCAAACAGCAAACAGATAAGGAAATGAACGGCACAATTAATTCTATAAGTTACTTATAAAATTAATATTATGAAAATTATTACTAGATCCAAACAAAATATAAACCCATTACTTGCAGATGTGCCAGTACATTTTTACTTTAAAAATTCTAAATTTTACCATTGAAATATGAAACCGTCACAAACCATCTCGAAGATTTCACATATAATCACTCATCATCATTTCGTTCCATCTGCCATGATAACTTCTTCCCGTCTCTGTAATATCTTAATAGAACCTTTCCCCATGTTGCTCACGTCTGCAAGATTTTCTCGAAGAACAATTTCGATGGTAATGCAAGCAATGCATTTTAGATTTGATCGACAACTTTGCAAAAACAAAATGTATAATTTGACTAGGGAGCGCGGTTTTATAGGACTCAGCGCCCGCTAGTTATAGTTGTGGAACATTCGAGCCGTATTCTAGAGAATCGGCGCGTTCTCGCTCCGATCTCTGCGTACGCCTGAATTCTGGGAATGCAAACAGTGCCGGGCTAGCGTCGGGTATCTTCCAAAAAAAAAAAAAAATGCCAACCTCAATTGTACCTCTCTGTTCTATCTTTTGAACACCTTGCCGTGAGTGTATTGTTACATTATTATTTTACCGATCTGTCAGCGCGGCGTTGCCGAGATTCGACGGTGTCCCTAGTACTTTACGATTTTAGCTCGCGTTGCAGTTATAATCGACACTACACGGGTTTTAAAGGGCTTAAAATGACACGTTTGAAAGCGTTTAATGGGCACACCCGTTCCAGGTATATTGTGAAAGTTTCGGGAGTAACGCCACGCCGCACAAAACGTGTGCCTAGAGCAAGGCAATGATGACAAATTCGGTTGGCGTGTCGGCGCCGATCAAATAACCGCATTTTTCACGCCCGGCGGTCGCCCCGCTAATTTACAACCACAGAGAGTTCGGGGGATGTGCGGCCTCGCGCGTGGCTGGC